GAGTGACTCTGATTCCGATGAATTAAAGGAAGGTTCTTAGAAGACTTAATTTGCCTCCGTGCTCTAAAAAGGTGAGTTTATCCCACTCTCTCGTGGCTGTCCTACCACTTGCTTTATTTGTGCCATGTTGTGTATGAAAACTTATAAAGATTGATATATTTCTTCCTTCCTTATTTAATTATGTTGGTTTGGTAGAGTGCCTTATTGAACTCAACTGTAATGCTATCATCATCAAGCCGGGGCTTCAAAGGACATATTCCTTCCTACTTAGTTGTATGTGTTTTGAGTCTGGTTTTATGAGAATTCAATTTTAATTCAGATTGGGGAACCTAATTGTCAAGTTTTAAATCTGATAAAGAATCTCCAGTTTTTATTTGTCCTATATGTGTTACACTGTTATCCTGCACAAAATTAAATTTGTAGTTCTTTATGGTCCTCTTCGGTTGGACTTCAATTATTTTAACAGCAATTTGAGTTGTCAAACTTAAATGTAATATGCTTAACTCATTGTATAATCCGCACTCCTTAAACCCTTTTTTAAAAAGAAATAATAATGTTAGAAAGGCTAGATATTCTTTAGGTTTTAATATTGCTGGGAAGGATACATGTTTTCTACTTTTAGACTTGTTTGCTTAGTGGAATATGTATATAATAATAGATCTAGTTTCTTTCACTGAAACTATAATGATATACGATTATGATATCAATAGGCCTTTCACTTTGTCACCCGATGTAAGGGAAAAGAAATACTTATCAAGATGTTGTGAATGTGTCCTATATTATTCTTAAATTGACATATCAGATTGATGGGGTTTATCTTCTTTGTCTTAAGATCCAGAAATTTATTAGCTGTAACTAGGAATATCAGTTCCCGCTGAGTTAATTCCCTAAGATTTCATGCTTGGAAAGATGAGATGTAATTAAGATTGTCAAGATTCTCAGATCTTTTTTCAATCCCTTTGAATGCTATTTTCTGTTTTCAGCATTCTTTATATTGATGATGGTTATAAGAGGTACAAGTGCTAGTAACATCTATTTGATTGATGACATCAAAGACCAGGGCATTAGCGATAGTTGATTTAATCAATTTATTTGCCTTTTGTCCATTTCTGGATTCATTCTCCATTAAACCTTGTTCACATTGTGACTTGGCATTGTAAGCTTGGAAGTTGATTTGCTTTTATTTGAGTTGAAATTTCTTGGTCATTGAGGAGGTTGTAAGGTTTTGGTTTGGATCATTAGGGAAGGGAAGAATGCAAGACCATGAGCATAGAGAAAGATTATTTTCTTAGGTTCTGTGGATAATTTTTGTGTGCTGATATGTGATGCTTCAATTCATAACAGACCTACCATCTTCGTTAAGTTGTGACATTATTTGTTTTCAGGAGATCGAACTGGCTTCCTGAAATATAACTTGTTTCTCAGAAATAGGCCAGATGTAGTGTTTGATATTTTATAACTCAGCATTATATTACCTCCAATTTTTAATATAAAAGCTAGTTGACTAATCTGAGTTTATTTAGAAAATTAATTATGTTAGTTATTTGTAATAAATATATGTTGTCTTTCTTAAAATTTCTTTGTCAATCAAATATATTGGCTAAAACTGTCATTATTGCAAGGACTATCTTGGGGGGGAAAAAAGATAAATATGAGAGATAAAGTAAATTTAAGTCTTATATATAGGATCAAAATACAAGTCGAACGAGTTCTTATATGAAGGACCAGAGGTAATATTAACATTTGACTAAATCGTTAAAGGAAGTTTCCTCACATATTTGAGTTTAGACGGCAAATGTGCATGTGCTAGAAATCCTCTCTCAATTCTTCTTTCAGGTTTTTAATTTTTTTCGCGTACTGCCCTTTCCAAAAGATTAATTTTTTTTTTTTTTCTGTCTTGCTTTTCAGGTGTGCTTGGTGTGACTCTGCCGCCATGGAAGATGTTCCTGTAACTTGGTGTTTGACTTCTAATTGTTTTTTTTCTGAGTTGTGCATGATTTCCTCCTAAATGTTCTTTTATGGCGAAAGAAGAAAGAACGGATCTTACGTGAAGATGTTTGCTAATTGATTTTTTTCAACAAACGTATGATTGATGGATATTCCTAACAACTTAAATTCTCTTTATTAACATTTCAGGCAGATTCATCGGTTTTGATTGAACAATCTAACATTATGAAAACTTCTCAGGTAGATGTAATCTATAAAAAAGTTCACGGTAGCATATGATGTTCCACTGTGAAGTGAATTTAGGAGGTATTGCAAAGTTCAATTGGGACCCAATGGAAGATCCACCAAAGTGTCAGTTTCTGGGCAGTCCTTTTTTTTTTTTTTAGTTGTGTGAACAATCTCATATTTGCACATCAACACCAAAAAATAACTTATCCACCCACATGAAATGTTTGAAAAAAATTCGGCGGCCATAGCAAATGTTTCCACCAAATGTTTATCATTCAGCGTGAAACTTCGTCTTATACTTCATTACGAACTAGTTCATTTTAAATGATATTGAAAAGCGAGAGTTGTGTTTGGTAAGACATAGAAGACCATTTTTGGAGAAATGATGAGGGGGTTTATCAGACAAGTGTGCGTTTTAATTTTGTTTGGCTGTATCTTTTTGTGAGATAATTAAACATTATCTTCACTCAATAATAAAAATTATGATGAAAAGTAACTTGGAAGAATTTCATTAAAAAAAAAAAGCTTAAAATTACTTAAATTTTGAATAAAAATTGTAAAAAGAAAAAATTGCGTTGTTATTTGCAAAATTCAATAACGTTATTAAGAATTTAAAATATTGTTAACAAATTTAATTTAGGGTTTCATAATCTTATGGCCTGTTTGGTTCATGGGATCAATGGGCATGTAATGGAATGTAATAATTGGGAATGTAATGTAATGTAATGATGATTACAGTAAAGTTGTTTGATACAATATTAAAAATGATGAAATTAAATTTATTATTTATATTTAATTAAATACAAATAAAATCAAAATTACAAAAATGCCCTTACACAAATAAAATTTTTCGTTGATTTACTGCTTCCTTCGTCTTGCTCGTCTACTGGCACAATACTAACTCATCATTGTTGGCCTTCATTCATCTTCATCCTTTCTCTTCCAGAACGATCATTCCTCACCCCACATGTTCTTTTCATTCCAGGTGCGTCACATGAGTAGAATCACCACTCCCACAAGTTAGAAACAAAAACCATCCCCCTTCCAAAAAAATCCTCACCCCTGACTTCTTTCACGTCCAAGTGCATCGTCCCTCCCTCTCCGATTAGCTTCATTGTTAGATGATTAAAGTCTCACCAACCTTCCTCACTGCCAATATCTCTTGCACAAGATTAGATCTACGTTCACCATTGGACGTCTAGATTCTCATCACGACTACACCTAATGCTCTGTTATGCTTTTGCCTTTTGTTCTAACCCTACCTCCATCCCTCTCTTCTACTTCCACCATAGCCCATGATTCTTGGCAATGAGGATTTCCTCCTTTGCCTCATCTTCATCATCTCCAGTGAAGATTATTCCAGTCGCATTTTCATTGCTTGTATCTTTGTTTTCATATTTTTGTTTTTGCTTTTTGTTAGCACTGGTTCATTTTTCATTTTCATCGTCATGATGATGAAGTGAACAGGAAGATGAAGTTGTTCACTTGATGAAGGGGTGCCCTCGACATAGGGAAGGCCACTGGTGGAGGAGGCTTGGTAGTGGTCAATGAAGATGATGAAGAAGACAAGGGCAAATATTGTCTTTTTTGGATTACAACATGTTGTAATCCCCATTCTTTACTATTATGGATGTAATCTCTATTACCTTATATGAAGTAACTATGATGCATCTTGTAATCCTCTTTACCACCTAAATGTGCTAACCAAACGCTTGAAAGAGGCTATTGGATCAGGATTACAAGGAATACTAATGCAATACATCAAACCAAACGGGCACTTAAGCTTTTGCCTTCCTTTGCATTTGAAGGTTTGGGATCAGTTGCATTTGAAGATTGGGATCAAATTATGAAGATGACCCACATAGAATGTCCAAAAAGAGAATTATAGTTAGGTCCAAAAAAAAATTACAAAACAAATTTTAGAAGTTGTTATTTTTTATTCTAAAACTTTTCATTACATATTATTTAGGTTGTTATTGAGATTTTTTAAAAATTATTTTTCTTTTTAGAGACCTTATTGTAATTTTTCCTTATCTAAAAACATCATGTCACCAAGTCACTATGTAATTAACTACTACTATTTCTAGTCCTTAATATAAGAATTTTTTGGGAATTAGATTCGCTTTAAATATATAAACTTAATCTACTTTATTTATCAAATTTATAATTTATTCTCTAAAACATTCTTGTTGATTATATATATTAAAGGGATTTTCAACTAAGGGTAGTCATGATTAAAAAAATACTTTAAATTATTAAAAAGATATTTTTAAAAAATTAATTCATATTTATTACAAATAACTAATAATTAAATTATTTAAGTAGTTTTTATATTAAATACAGAAAATAGTAATAGATAATGATTGGCCTAAGGCTGCTAAGGAGCACTAGCGACTAGAGGCTACCCAAGAACATTAATTTAGTAATGATTGTGTAGTGTTTCTTATATATTTTTATTTTAAATGATAGAGCAACAAATAGATCCAATTAGAAAGTTGACGTGAATGAAATAAAACAAGCAAGAAGTTTCTCGGCGCAATTAGAGGACTCTCCTTGGTCATAAATCATAATCAAATCCAATCCATCTAAATTATATTATATATTATAGAGGCCAATAGAACTCAAAAGAACCTTGGTGTTGACGTCAACAACAAAGAAACAAATATTTTGTTAAAGAAAGTTTTTGTTTTTTTGCCTTTTGGAGTGCTCTGTTTGCCGCATCATACATTAATAACTGCTAAACCATAATTTGTGAAGTACAGGAATTAACTTTGCAAACGGTAGAAACAGTAGGGACAGGTTTGAATTTTTCAGAATATAAGGACTTTTTTTTTTACAAGAGAATTGTAAATTATTCGAACTAAATTAATTTATTTTCTATGTTTGTGTGTATATATAGATAAGGAGGAGGGCTTCCCCAATCTCACCAACGCTCACACTCCATCTTCTTCTACAGTCATTTTTTTGGGAATGAAATGGAGGGATACACACAGGAAGAGAGAGAAACAGAAGCAGCAATTTATCCATCCGAATCAAAATGCTTCATGCTAAAGGAGGGTCAGTGGTTCTCTAGTCTTCTTTATGTCCCAATGATGATGATCAAATTTGATATGAGAATTACATGTAAAGTAGGAGTTGAATCCTTACCGTGATGATGTTCACTTGTTTTTGAGCTTTCCCGTCTGCGTTCGCTTTCAGAGACAATTAAACAATTAAACACTCCTATCTGACGTTTACGTGGTTGAGTTTGACTCAAATTCGGATCCATTTGATAAAATAACAGTACACAGACTCGCTCCTTTCTTTATTCTTTCTCCTCGCTAATAGACAATTCGACACTTGGATTTCGACTGCCAGTTAGCCATGTGTTATTATCAGCATCGTCATCTTCGTTATTATTATTATTTTCTGTGTCATTAATTTTTTTTTTCAAACTGCATGATTCTTCCCTGCATTATGCTAGAAATTGAAACAGTATATTTCTCTGAACACAGTGAAGATCAAGGAAAGCTTGGAATCGGAAGAAAGTGAAATGGAAGAAAACGTAGAGCCACTGATTTCGCAAGAGCAGAGACACCCATCTTCTATTATCACTAATTTATACGTTGGCCACTTTTTAGCCAGATGGGGTGCCAGGTTCTTCTCAAGTCTCTACTTTTTGTTGCTTTCTTCTAGGTTGTGCGTTAGTTTAATTACTCTTTTTGATGGTCCTGGATCTTGGCTTTCATATGCATAAAGTTTCATTTTTTTTTACCCCCAAGAAAAAGTCTTTTCTCAAGATTTGTCTCTTCTTATTTTACCCAAAAAGGAAGATTGAAACCGTGGTAAAAAGTTGTTTTTGTCTTCTTCTCAATTATTTTCACGGGGAAGGCGTCCTGTCCACTTCGGTTTTCTGGTATTTGACTGCCTTCAACTTTAGCACGAATTTGAAGATCATTTTCTTTTAGGATTTGATGCTCCTAGGCCTTTTCTTTTGAAGTATTTTCATTAAACCATTCCCAAAGGGAACAAATTCAAATAAATGCTGGAGAAATCAGGAGTTTGTGAGTGGAACAAGATAGCTCAAGGCAAAATAAAGAGTTTTGGACTCTGATGTACAGGAACTGTTGCGTATCAGTGAAGTAGTTACGGTTTTTCTTCTTTTAACTTTCTGTGTTTTTTTCTTTTGGTATTGATAGAGCATTTCTATGCGCAGAATGTGGGAGTTTTCTGTTGGTTTATACATGATCAGTGTATGGCCAGACTCGTTACTTTTCGCCGCACTATATGGTGCCATTGAATCTGCTTCCACTGCATTTTTTGGTCCCCTTGTAGGGAGACTGGTGGATAAATTGACATATGTGCAGGTGAGCTTAGCAATCTTGGAAGTGAATAACTTTCTGATTTAAATCATATATAAAGGGGTCTGACACATTTCATATTAGTTTTTATTTTGTAAGTTATCAGGGAAAAGACCGATGTGACAACTTATTTATAAACCATATATTCCATATAGAAGAACAAAAGTTACTCTGACAGAAAATCAGGGAACTTTTCATTGGAAATAATATGACAAATATCGACTCGTTTTGCAGCCAATGGCGGCTGAATTTGAGAGTAAAGAACTCAAAGTTTCTTAACTAGTCTTTCAAATGTGAGTCTTATAATTATAAATGAAAAAACTCTATATATATATTGGGAGAGCTTCCCCCAGTTGAAAATTATCCGAACTTAAATCTACATTAGTCAATATTATCATATGCTGAATCATTTGTCCAAGTTTTTTTTTTTATGTTTTTGCTTTGAGCTCTCTAATAAGAACATAACCACTCGATTCCACAATCAAAAATTTCCTTTGTTGCATATTCTTATCGAATAATAAGTCAGCAAGTACTTAAGAAACTCTACTTTGTCATTTTAATTTAGCATCATAGATTTCAATGATCAGAATATTTCTGGATGCATTGACAAGAAATGCCAAAATTGCCCCAATCCCTCCTGTAAAAAGCGAGATATAAACGAAATTTTGTGGTGACCTTCTTTAGTCATTTCAGCTTTCTAGAAGTTTCCTTTAATCTTTTTCATTTGGATCATA